TCGGCGGGCTCGGTGAGGAGCGGCCGCCACTTCCACAAGTCTTCAAAGTCGTAGGTAATGCAGGCTGGATGGAGGTTCTGCAAATTGCCCCAGAGCTGAAAATTGTTGAAAACGACCTCAATAGAGCTGTACGGAACATAAGAAAGGGTCGAGTCCGGCTTCAGCAGGTCCTGGAGAACAAGCAGTCATATTGAACGAAACCATTGTGGAAGCAAACGGGTATTCATGCAGGGGATCGGCTAGCTGGGATGCAGCAAAGGGAAAAGAGGGCCTGTTCTTGAGCCTTCTTCGTGTTACTAGCCCACTATGCTAAGCAAACAGAGCAGGGAAAGACGTGGGAACAGCCCGTATCCTACACAAGGAAACATGCTAGGGGCTTCACGAATCCTGAGATCAAAGGATCACTTCAGCAAACAATGATACGGAGGCAACGAACCTTAACAGGAGTGATGGGGAGTTTGTCCAGCTGCTCTTGCATCATCTTCCTCAGCTCAGCCTTGTCGACCTTCTCCGCTATTCGTTTCGTTTTCGCAGCAGCGCTTGTTTCCGTGAGAATGCCTCCTTCCTCCATCACAAGGTTGGGGTCTAGTCTCTCATCTGGAGCCACATCTTCCCCCCATATTTCTGAGTCGGGGATGGTTGCCCCTTCAGCGGCCATGCGAGCAGCATCAGCAGCAGCTGCTGCTTGAGACTGTACATGCCACAAAGCTCACTAGTCACAGCAAAAGCAAGATCTCAACATCCAATACTGCCGCAGCACTGTCAAGAGCCAGCACAATTCACGTGTTAGAATATCCAGTTTGGGGAAAAGCTGACGGCTAGCAAGGTTAAATTTGTCTGTGCTATGGGGAGCATGTCTATATGCTAGCCTCTCACAAGCTCTCGTATGCACCACATGCATTAATTGGGAAGAGACTAACCTCAATCCACGCAAACCACTCTTCGAGGTAGGTTCCTTCCCAATACTTTTCGGCGGCTTCTTCCAGTGATTCCTATCATCAAAAGGGCATCAGGCTATAGCAAAACAAAAATGGGAAGATGCATAAAATCAAACCAAAACTGGCAACAAGCAGATCTCCAAACACGATGTTCCCCTGGATATTACAAGGCTCACCTTCGGCTTAAAGTTTTCCGGAGGCCCCTTCGATGGATAGCCCCACCTAGACCGGAAAAAGAACCACTAAACATAAAGCGTACTCTCAACAAAAAGGCAAGAGGACTCCCAGAGAGCGAGAACACAAGTAGTGGACGCTAGATCCTTATAATGGGTTGAACTGAGTTCAAAAGCCTTTTATTTTGGCGCTTTTGCAAGGAATCTGTGTTAAATACCGATACGGGAGGCAGTAGCGCTTCCGGTTTGTTGGTTCCCAAAATACTATCCATCCGCCAGCGTGGCGAGTCATAACCCATGCGTGGTCCGTCGTGTACCCGTCAATGGTCCCTGAGCAGCGCAGATTCATCAACTCCAGGCTGCGCTCCCTGTAGCTGAAAAGAAGACTCTAGGTAAAACGAGCAACAGTCAAGAGTACCCTGATGAGAACAAGTACTATTCAGGTGAGAACAAGCAAAAAGAAACTCAGAAAACAAAGGGAGCACTCCAGGTGTTTTCGTAGCTCTACACTGACACCGGCCGCGGGTTGCCCTCCATCAGCTACAGGCACGAGAGCAAAAACACTATGCTTTCAGAGGCATATGGCCTACCTTTACAGACATATGCGTCGTATTCCAGCCCAAGTAGGCAGCTGCACAGTAAGACTGCGTGATCATTCACTCCCCCTCTCCTAGTAGTCAACAGGGAAGCCGGGCTTTGCCACCTCTGGAACTCCCCGTCGCGCAGCTGCTTTGGGGAAAACAGATATGCGATGTTGCTCAGCCAATGCAGCAGCTCCCCTTCCACAGCCAGCTGAGCTGGCACGGCGATTGGCACAACAAATGACGGCAGCGGGAAAATTAGACGGCTCTGGGAATGTTCCGCTACACTCACAAATCTCCTTTCTTTTGGAGCCTCGGGGAACCACTGCAAATACATCTTCTGCCACCTCCGGAAATCCTTGTTCCATCGGCGTTCAACCTGCATCCAGATGTCGTTTGAATTTTTAACCTACGCCAAAAACACAAGAGCGTTTAGCTCATGCTGAAGCAAGAAAATCGCAGTGAGGGGCGACGGCCTTTTAGAAGAACGTGTACAGTGGGGCCTAAAGTGCAGAATGATTGTGCAAGCGAGATGCACAGCCTGCAGCCTGCTTAACAGGACCAGTTGGAAGGAAGGACATTCATCGTGATCATGTGTCGTTGCATGCGACCGAGCGAGAGCTCTTTCTGATGGCTTACGACTGGCTGCGGAGGCATCTCAACATCTTCAGGCATAGGAGGAATAAAAAACACCTCGCACCAGAGTAAACTCCTTTCGCCAGTCATCTGTGGCAATGTAGACCCTTTGAGCTCTACATAACAAGAGAAGGGTACAAGGAATATCAAAAAATGACACCCCAGTTGGGAGTTCAAGGGGATGCATGTGCACACCCTCCCGCAGCTACTCACCTAGCACTCTTTTTAACACTAATGTCTCATAGGGCCACTCGTAAGGAGGCACAACAACTCTGTCATCATCCGGCAGAACAGTATCACCAAATCCGGAGTAATCGGAATCATCTCGGTTTGCGAACTCTGCTGGTCTTCCGTCTGGCAGTCGAGTTTTTTCATCGCTTTCTTCGACTCCCTGAGGCCACAAACAGAACGACGCCAGCACAACAACGCAAGCGAATGACTCGTCTCCTGAAAGGCTTTGGGGTGTCTGGTAGCAGAAGGACAGGATGGCGATGCCCAATGGTGAGTGCAACTCAACTTAAAGGCAGCAGCGTGCACTGCACTGCCAACGCATGCTAGCAAACTAGACAGCTGTAATCCACGTGCTGCTTCTAGATCTAACCACAGCTAGGCTTCTTGTGTCTCGCTGTCCTTCCTTCCAAAGAAGATGAAGGCTTATGTCTGCCCCTCCAAGAAAGTCAGACGTGGTATCGTCTGAGTCCCAAACTTCAAAGGACAATGCACCCTTTGCAAACAAATCCAGAGGCAGCGTATACTGAATCACAAATGCACAGCGTCTCTAAAGTAAGACTGTCAAAACACGCAAGCATAGGGCTGGATAAGCATGTGAGATCATGAGATGTAAGGGGCCACAAACGTGTCAGTTGCATCAGAATCTTCAAACGTATGGATCCCTAAAGACAGGCCAGTGGACGTCACAAACGGGGAAGTACACAGCAGTGTAGAATTTGTAATATTTTAATTATACATTTTTTCGGCATTTGCAGATACTGCAGATAACACGGAGTGCGCCTTACCTTCCGAAAAAGGGGGCTTGTCCTTTCCCTCGGATCTAATAGCCTCACTGGGAAATAAAAGCTCTGGTTGAACACTGGGCGAAGTGTGTTCTCTCGCCTCGCCCCCGAGTTGACCATTCCATCCCATTTCACCTACAATGGAGTCAAGCAACATCGCAGTTGGATAGCAAATGATTTCTACCTACTCGTTACAGAGGCACGGCCTGCAGAGAACAGCAAGTGGGAAGCAAAACAAATGGGTGCCGGCCCAAATCTGCAGCGCACCTTTACCATTGGGTTAGAACTGAAAGAATCTGCATTGGCGACAGGGAGGTTCTCGCACTTAAAAACTCTGTTGGAAATGCAGATGCACACACAAACAAGAAGGTTCACGCGGACAGGCAGAGGAACAGACAGAAAGGCGCAGACGGACCCAGGAAAAAAAAGCGGGCAACTTTCGCTCGCGAGCAGGCAACTGCGCTGTAGACCAAACGGCTCACCTCACGACAAGATATTGTTCTTTCAAGTTAAGCTGCGTTACAAGGGCCGTGCCTGCGACGGTCTGCATTGGCCGGAAAGGAACGTTCTCGTAACCCAAAACCCCGACGGACCGCACAAAACATCGAATGTTGCCAATAATTTCTCCCTGCTGAAATTTGCTGGGATTAGTTGTAAGTTTCTTTACGACTCCTCTGCGAGCAAATCCATGAGCCAGAGATCGTAACCCATGTGCGCATGCTAAGGAGACGTCGGCACGCTCACCAAACGAGCGTTTTCTTCAAGGTTCCTCTAACGACGCTTTACAATCTTGCCTATGGCATAGATAGCTCCAGACGCATGTTGATAGCAACAGCGTACTAGAAAAAGTAGGATATTCTTACCTGAAAAGCGGGTACGTCGTAACTGACTTCAGGGACATGATGCAGACCCCCAGTTGTAGCGGGGGACGATACCACTGGTGTTCAAACTGACAGGCCACCTGTTGTCGCACGAACAGCAAGCGGTGTGGGTTTTTATAACTCGAACCGCTAAGGACAGCGGCATTTCGCCGTTGATGCAGCATCAACAGCGAAATATCGCTGTCCTTAAAATGTCCAGTTTTCTAAAGACAGGCGAGACGGCTCCAAAGTCGGCTTACCGTCACGACGATGTACTGATTACTAAGCGATGGAAGCGTGCCACGAAAGGAGAAGAATCCAGCGTAAGACCAGTAGTTGTTCTTGCTTGTATGAGTCCTGGCTACAGAACGTTGCATAGACCTGAAAAAGGACACAAACACTAAGCACTTTTGCTGACTCTACCCACACGGCTTAACATAAACAAGGATACACAGAAGCTTATTGCGGAAAGAAAACTGATTAACTGCAGCGGAAGAATACGACCCTGGCAGAAGAACCCCGTTTCCTAATCTCCCAGGCCAGTAGAACGAAAGGAAACCACCGGAGATGCATTGCTGATTCGTACCTTCCCTGAACGGGGACATTGAGAGAGAGGGCCTTCGCGTGCTGTTGAAGTTTCGCAGGCATTTTCTTGTCCGGTAGAAACCACCAACTGTCAAAAACCATGTCGATGTCAAACACCTCATTTAATTGAAGAGAGACCTGCAAACCGTCAGCATGGGGGAACAATCGCCAACGAAGAAGTCGTGTAAACACCCAGAACTGTGCAGCGTCCACCCACAGTTGAGAGCCTCTTACCCATGTAGAAGCTTAGTCAACGACTACCCCCGCTTGTGCTCAAAAGGTTCAGAATTCCTTACCCGCATCTTATGCACTTCATAACTCCGTTTACTACCTGGGAGTTTGCGCTTCAGGAGGAGCTGGAACTCCGGCTCCATGTCAATGATTTCCTTGAGCGTGAGTCGGGCTGAGGCGTATAGACTATTGAACGAGAAGTCGCTTATCTTCCACTGCTCCACAGTAATGCAGAAGTTGTGGAGTTGGTTGTACGGGAGCAAAAAGACTTTCAAAGGCCATACAACCAAAGGGGCAGCCAAAGGACGGTACTCCCCAGGTCCCAGTCTGTAGCCAGGAGTAAAGAGAAACCGACGGCGTAAGGAGCCACGAATCACTCTATTCCTGCAAGCAGATCATAGAGCAAGGCCAGGCATCAGTCTTCTTTTAGAACTATGTGCTTGTTTTGAGGAGACGAACTGCGCATGCCCTGATCATCGTGTGCATACCACAAGAGCAGTGACCTAGATTGAAGGTGCACGCAAGCAAAGGCGCAAGCAAATGCCTTCTTTCACCCTTACCTATTAACATGCCCAAAAGTGATGGAATAGAAAAAGTACTGCTCCTTCGTCTCAAGGTTCATGAAGGAGTTGATGAAAAACGATGACTCCCACATCCGCCGCCTGTCCATGGGGTCTAACGCCTTCGACCGACGGTCTCGCCTCAGCTGAACGGCAATTAAAGTATACCGAACAGAGCCATCTACAATGAAACAGCTGAAAGCGGTAGCAATGGAGAGTACGAATATTGCAGCTTCCCACCCTGTATGGCAGAGAGTTGTGGCTCTCGATTCAGTGTTGGGCTGGGGGCCCTACAGCAGCTCACGCGGTCAATTTCTTCAAAGTCCTCATCATCGAACTCGAAAGTGCCCGAGCTCTCGCTGCTGCTGCTGCTGCTGCTGGTGCTGCTTTCTGAGCTGCTGCTGGCTTCGCTGCTGCTGCTCTCACTGGAGCTTCCGAATGTTGCTTGGTACTGCGGACACGGCAAATATGCGTATAGGGTTTTCGTACTTATCCCTTTTCTCACCGGCGGTTCAAGATACACATGGGAGTCAGCCACGCATCAAGTGTACGAAGGTGTTGTCAGGCGTTGTGTGCGGTGACACTCGTCATAAGGTCATTTTGGCGACTGTTTTGGTCTATTGTCTAGCACTCAGTTTCGGGATATTTATTACTAACCTTCTGCTTTCCAATTTTCCTTCCGTAGGCGTCAAAGTCGAACAGTTGAACACCCTTAGGCTCCTCGTCAACCCCCTCATCCTCATCTTCCGGTTCGCTGGGTTTATCCCCGAGAATCTCCTCGTTCAAGTTTCGCTTTGCTGCAACTCGCAGCTGCGAGACGTCTTCGTGGTCAGGATCCATGGTGGCCCACAGAGCCGGCTTCGGTCTACAAGCGCTTTAGGGCCCCTGCATCCTTGCGTCAATGTATGATGTCTCACCAGAGGCTTCAGGGTGACAGGCTCAGAGTCAAGCTGTACGTAAGAATCGAGCAAACTTCAGCTGAAAAGGTCATTCAACATACGTTGGCTAATAAGAGATTACTATAGAACCCATGAGGCGTTTGCCGGCAGGCCACATACAAAAGTCAGAGTGAGCTTCTCGTGGTAGCAAATCCGTCTCCAATCTCACTAATTTCATGTTGCAGATGTATATTCGATTGGAAAATCGGGTAAATATCTATAAAAGCGGGAAATGCAGTGGAGGGAACTGGAGGCTGCCGCGAGGCCCTCCTTCCCTGGCGTGGTCAGCAACTAGAGGCTGCAGCAAGACCCGCTCTTCCGGGCGTGGTCCGCCGCCTCAATAATGAACAGTTTGAAGGGAATTTAATATTCTTTATGATATACAATCTAAATTATGAATGCAGTGCAAACACTTAGCAATCTCATGCGCACTATTCTTCTGGGATTTCTATGGAAAAATTCTGGCCCGTGTCTGGTCTGCCACACGGGCTTCGTGTACTGGACAAGAACCACTCACTGCCACCGAGGCCTCCAGCCGAACGGAGAATAAGATGCAGAGTAACGGAAACAAATACTGAAGAGAATCCATAGGAGCAATGTATTTTCTATGTTTATTTTGTCGCAATGAGAGCTAGTCGTGGCATAGGACGTTCTAGCCTACATTCCCACAATGTGCTGCTGGAAAGTGCAGTCTGATGCAGCAGCAGTCACGAGAAGACCAGGCACGCAGCGCTACTCAAAAGAAATACAACAAATGCAGCAACTCTGCCATATGTGGTCCTACTTGTACAAAATTCCTCGCCGTCATTACAGGCCACTTCAGGGCGTGCACACACGAACAGAACAAAGTATAGTTACCAACCGTTGCCCCTGTTCGTTCTGCAATGAGTTCGTCATCGTTACGAAATAGATCAATTTGCACCGGCTAAGGACTTCCAGAAAGCCAGATGCTCCAACGAGACGCCCCATGCAGCGCAAGAACTGCAACTTTCGAAGCCCTCTGTGCTATTTAAGAAACCTCGAGGAAATGTGCTACAGACTGTCCCATCATCTCAGGTCATGATGTCTCTGTCTGCGTTAACAGAGAACTGCACGATAAAGACAGAAGGCAAACAATGCGGTGCCAACCGCAACCGCACACTCCACTATATGGCTGCGGGCCCACAAAGTTTCAAGGCCCAGCGCGCGTTCGAGGGCGTCAGAGAGGGCTGTAACGAAGAAATTAACGAGAGGCCACTTCCGATCAGCTGTGTTCGCTGAGCCTCACCTGCCATCTTGCGAGCATTCGACTCTATGTACTCATTCTTCGACTCGAGTTCACGTGATAGAGCCGCAATGATGCCCAGGAGGCTGGCGATGTCTCTGTTATCTGAAACTTATTTTATACAGTGCTGCGAATTCGTCACTGCATCCCTTCCTATGCTCCCACCCACCGCATCGAATGCTATCCTGTTGTATGCCCAATATACTAGAAGAGGTCATTATCACGTCGTTGTGTTGCTCATCGTTGGCTCGTGCAGCTTCACAAACAATTTGCTCTTCGGCATATTTCTCGTTGCTCCCTCCAGACCTTCTGGCACATCGGTGTTCAGCAGGGCCTAAAGAATAAGACAGTCAAGGGGACTGGGAATACCGAGAAACGCAAAAAAGTCACTCGCCTGCTCCGCGGTGACGGGCGGTTCTGTCGGTCATGGTTGAAACCTCTTTTCGGACCGAAATTGCACAAAGCGTTTGCAGTTTGTTTCTTCCAAATAAATAATTCAAGCAAGCATGGGTGAGCCTCCAGCTGCAGAACTACGTTTTGGCGAAACATGGCTGACGGACTGATACGGTTCGCTGACCGTCAGGCGTCTGTACACCCCATGCCTTCCAAAGTATGGCCCAACGTTTTAGGCTGCTATTCGCTCGTCATGTGGAAGCGGCGTGGGTACAAAATTTGCGTGAGACATCCCCAAATCTTCTGGTGTTCCGCATAGGCATCTTCAGCTTCTATTTCACTTTATGCATCCGCAAGCAGATTGGCTACCCCCCGAAACGCCGCCAATGCGCAACGCAGTGCGAGTGAGGGCGATCTTGAAGTATTGGTTTTCTTATAGCATCCTTTCCCATGTCAAGACAGTCTCATCCCTAGCAAGGGAAGGGGGAAACTACCAAGGCATTGAGGTAGCCGTATTTTTGCAATATTTACCACATGTGCTTTTTGGAATATATATATATATATATACACTACGCGCGCCATGTGAACTGCACTGCTCAAGGCGCTGCTCATCATAGCTGTGTGAAGGTTTAGAGCCCGACAATACGAGCAAGTGCATCGATGTGGGCCTTCAACGCAGCGCGTTTCTCCTTGACTGCCCGATTAAGCTCGTCCATCTTCTTCGTTCCTGCTACAGCCGCAAACACCGTACACACCACAGCATCACAAGGAGCTGTCACCAATCCCATACAGCTCCTGCAAGCTCTAACGCACATACCGTCTCGGTCGACTTCCGCACGTTTTGTCCTGCGGATGCGAACCAGTCCACCAATGGTGCCCTGAAAAGGAAAGAAGCAGAAAACAAAGGCGTAAACCCTAGGAGAGTTGTATGAAAAACCTTTTATGTGCTGCACACTGTGCACAGCGTTCCCTCTACTAACTTCTTTCTAACTTCTCAAGCGCATGTTCCCCGCAAACGTACAATAAAAAAAATGGGGTGTATTGCCGCGGCAAGCCCGGTGAAGAGGCCCGTGAGCATCATTTGGGCATACTCGCTTCGAATCTCCTTTGGCGTCTGATGCCGAAACATCACGAGCTGCAACATGCACCACAGCAGTTCGCAAAAGGTGTCTCAATCACGATAGTAATATTGCATACAATGCATACATACATACATATAGTAGACATAATACGTATAAACATTTATCTGCACGTGCACCATTCATAGGATATATAATGCGCACAATATAAACAGTGCACGTAAGTACATGCATATACATATATATATATATATATATGTGCACATGGAGAGTGTAGTATATATAATATATATGCATA